AATTTATAAAAAAACCGCGCGACTCATGACAATGACTTACCATTTGGAGGAAAGCAAATCATCGATAATAGAGTTCATGGCGGAGCTAATAGGTCTAGCAAATTTGGTGATAAATTAGTGGTTCTCGGGCAGTTGCGATGGGTTTTGGAAGCCAGCGACCAATATACAAGAAATAACGAAGTACATGGTTCAGCCGATCGCAATTTGGAACAGCTCCGTTGACTATTCGAGAATTTATTGAGCTTCGCGTCGAGTTGGCCTTATAGCCAGCCTTGAATTCTTTTAAAATAGATAATACCTCGGGTAGCAAAAAGGGAACAAATTCCGGTTACATCCACTTCCAGTGTTACATGCATAGGCGACATATTTCGACCAACTTTCGACATGTCATCTTTCCACATGCTATTTAACCGGCTGAAAGACCGTTTAACTGTTAAACTGGCAATTTTTCCGGTTATTAGCGGAAAAAATAGCAAACAAATGTTAATTACTGACCTCAAATGGCTGAAGAAGATTGTGGACTTTGCATGTTTCCAGATTTACGGGATAATCAAAACGACATTGCGTCTAATCGATAGGCTCTCAATAGTCACTTCCGGTAGAATTAGCTAGGCCGCTCCTGCGTTTAGTAAAACAGTCGATTTAGCTCTCACAGAATCACTTCATGATACTCCTTACCTTAGTTTGATGTCAAATAAATCTATCTTTCACGACTAAAAGTCGAGTTCGACCGTGAAGAAGTCCGTTGTGTTTACATTTTTGACGTATGCCTGGTTACATGGCATGTCGAAAGATGGCGTGTAAAGAAATGCTGTACGGCTTTCTCTCAGGCCTTCACGGTCAACTGATTTCGGTGGAGTATCCGAAGTAGCCTAGACAATAACAGAATACGCATGCGTTTAGATCAGTTACTCATTTTGGCTAAGCTCCAGGGATTTTAATTCCTGGTCTTCCGTAAATGTTTATGTACAGCAGGAAACCGTAAGGGCTCATTTACTCGATCCACTTTGCTATCCGGAAAACTTCAATCACTTTCACCAAATAACTCAGTCGGAAAAAATGCTGTTTACTGTAACTTGTTGGAATGGGAAACTGAATCTTTTAGCAAGTTTGCCGCATTTTAGTACAAAAGAGCAACTTTCTTACAACATACGGTTGGAACTATTATTATGCTTGTACCTGTAACACAAACGTTTTTATTTCACATGCACCTCAACTGGAAGCCTAAGCGACAAATTGTATAAGTTTCCAATACTAATGGTTGTGACCAATAAATTATGTTCAACTACGGAATGGTTTGATAGTATCGACTCCTTTGAACCGAAAACTGGAAGAATATTTCGCTCCTATACGAATTTGACTTTCGAAATCTGTTGAAATATCTGTGTGTTTCACGGAGTTTACTTCCGTAGTAACGCTTGTCCGATTGCTTTTTCCCACCTTTTCCCACCTTTTCCCCGTGGCCTGGGCGCTTGTTTTAAGCCTTAGAGGCCTGCGTCTGCGTTTTGGTCTCCCTCACCTTTGCTGGGCAAAATCTTTATTTGTGAAGTAAGACAATATAAGTCCTTTAATAAAATTTTGTAATGAGGTGACTATGGGCCTTTGCTCATAGCTATACATTATTTCAATTTACACAAACAATTAAACGGGCTATGAGCCTTTGGCAACACGTTTTTTGTGTATTTATTGTTTATCCTCTGGCCCAGTAAACAGAGTGCGGGAAATACAGCACTCAGCATTATCATTTGTTTCAGAAGATTTGAAGACATAAATGTTATGGTTCGGTTGTTTATAAATTCATTCCACATACAGTAGGTCTGGGCTGCCTCTGGTAACACAACCACATGGAAGTAAGTTCATAACAATAATGGAATGATTCAAAGTTCTTACCCGCAATACTGCATTTGGAAACGTTGAACAACGAGAAGTACGCTTGAGTTCACTAAAGGTGAATGGATTTCCCAGTTACAATATCCTGAATAGTATGAGGTTATTAAATTGATTTCACTTGTTGTACCATTGAAGGTCTGTCCACAAGCTGTAAAATCGAATATATACAAAAATTGCAAAACGTTTGCCTGGTCGTCCTTGCTGGTAAAACAGATTTAGTCAACTAGCTCTTCCATATCACATCTGCTTCGCCAATTGTCCCTTTTTTTTTTCAATCTATTTCCAATAACTGGCGTAATTTTTATATTGATCCGATTTCACCGGTAAAAAGCTCATCAAAATTGCTCGGAATGGTCTAGTAAAAACTGTAGCCAGACACCTTAATTAAATCAAGCCTTTTGGGTGAGACTACAAATTAATACGACATTGAACATTTTAAGTAAGCGTTTGTTCTCACAGGATTGTTGTGCCTAATTGATTGAATAATGATTTGAAAGAGGGCGAGAGAAGACACTTCAGGTTACACAAAACTGCGGTGTTTTAAATCCCACAAGACTGGCCAAGATCATAGCCCGAAAAAAAGCACCAAATTTGCCTATGTAAGTNTGTTCTCACAGGATTGTTGTGCCTAATTGATTGAGTAGTGTCTTGAAAGGGGGCGAGAGAAGACACTTCAAGTTACACAAAAATGCGGTGTTTCAAATCCCACAAGATTGGCGAAGATCATAGCCCGAAAAAAAAGCACCAAATTTGCCTATGTAAGTAAACCTGTAGTGTGATACTGTGCAATGGCTGAGCACATAAACTTGTGACAATCAGCTTGTAGTTTTTCATTGGATAAGAAAAACAAACCGTTCAAGTGCTTCACGACTGCTATTTAGGAAATCGTTCATTAATAAACACAACAGTTAGCTACCAACCTGTGCTCTGATATGTGGTACGCAAAGGACCCTCTCCAACAGATGTACGACCTGCAACTTTGATTTCATATCTCGTGGCCTCCATGAGACCTGTAATCCTCAATACTTGGGTACTTGCGTTCACTCTGACAGGGGTGAAGTTCTCGTAGGAACGATAACGTCTGAAATACACCACGTAGCCAAGAAGAACTCCATGAGTATCTTCTTCAGGTATAGGGGACCAGGTAATCTCGAGAGAGTTGGAACCATTATTGTATCCATACACCCATGGAACATAACCAGGAACTAAACGACAAAATAACGTCAGTTCATGGTATTGTGATATTTAATGCTACTATTAAAATTATAAAATAACTGCGATACTACGCTTGCCCTGATTGCTCAACAGAGTTGTCAAATCTGTTTTCTATTGTATTGGTAAAGGGTGGCACTATGCGAGAACTAAAAGCTCTGAAGACACCTGATGATGCCGTAGATTGGCGAAAGCTTGGATTTTTAAACGATTTTAATTTCATCTTATAGTAGTGTAAGGCCTCAATTGAACTTTTACCACTTTCATTTAAAATGCTACTGAAGGACAACATCCAACGACTGGCGAGAACGTAAAAACAATTTCTGCTTTCACTGGCTGACAATAACATCAATAACATGAATATTTTTAAATGAACATTTACACGGAGATTTCCATGGAAAAACAGCACCAGAAATTGGTCGAGCAATACAATACGTGATCTTTTTTTTTTTCATGGCAAAAACTTTACGCACGTTCCGTTTACGCTTGAGTTTAGAGGACAGTCTTAAGAGCGACTCTCTATGGGGACCGCGTGAGATTGACGAAATGTGGCGCAAGGTTGGAAAAATGGACCCCTTGATATTTCGTCCAGAGACAACCTATGGTATGCTAAGAATCGTGATATAAGTCTTAGATTCTAGAGTTTTTACATTTTTTGAGAAAATTAGGGAAGACCGTCGACAACCCGTGAAGCCGAAAAATAACAGAAATGAGGTCAAATTTCATGATCAGATAATCGAACTCGCGTGAAGGCCCATAACAAATTATGGTTTTCCTTAGTTTATAATTTTATTTAGGAGGTATTGCTAAGCTGCCTTGATGCTATTTTAGACTTACAATTGTAATTCCGAACACCTGAAGACCAAGCGAGGAGAACCGAAATTTCTAGACTTTGAAAATCAAAAATTCCATACCGTTTTCAAACATCTCAAAACACACCCGAAATTATGTAGAATTCTTTCAAAATTCAATTCTAGCAAGTACAAGAGCTGTTTTTGAACGTGACATAAGTTTTTTTTCTTGGCAAAAGTTATTTCTGAGGCGAACGGCCCCATGCAAGTTGACCCAATTTGACCTTTCGAAGAGATTTTGTTTAACCAGGAAATGTTAACAATTTGACTAGCCTTAGCTCGCTTTCCTATGCAAAGCATTAAAAAAGCTTGCCATTTCCCATTAAAACTACCCAGTAAACCTGAGATAATACTTCGATGATAGCCTACCTTCCAAGTGGGTTTTTGAAGGCAAATAATTTTGATGTTCTCAGTTAATTTTTCCATTGCTTTCTTGTTGCTGCGTTTTATAATTTAGGGTCATATCTTGACATCGACCTTGTACGCCGGTTCCAGGCTAAGCGTGTGCAACACTTTTCCGGAAAGTCAATACAAACGCTAAATTATCTACCTCTCATTGAGCAACCTCTTGATATTCATTTATTTTCTTGTATAATAAAAAAAAATTCCTCAGCACAAAACGTACATCTCAGTTGTAGTGAGTGTAACGATTTTTCAACCCATGACGCAGAGCAAATGCCATAATTTCGGCAGAAGTGAACACATGCCTCGTAATTATACGGGATGCCGAATTGTAAATAATGTTTGATTTCAAAGTTTTTTTTTTGACAAAGTGAGCGCTCAAGGTTAAGATAGTTTTCGAAAATCATATAAAAGCGTGCGTCTACTTCTGCATCAAATGGTATCTTGTTGAACATAATTCCTAAAAAGTCAGATGCACCACGAAGGGGACCTATTTGCGTGTTCACCTGCCATGGGCAAATTGGTAAATACAATAATACAAATTACAAAAACTCGCTTTGCGACCAGTAACCAGCCCTTTTTCAGCCCTTAATCTAGCTTAAGGAAATTATTAGCAATGGACCTGCCCAGGCATTTGACTTTTGGAGCTAAAACTAAATAGGATTTCTAGTTTGCTGTACAGTAACTGGAAAATGGGAAAAGTAAATGTGTTGGGTGTATATACACCGATTCAAAGTATTGCATACAATTAGCTCTCCTTCGAAATAGGCTTGTGATTACAAATAAAAAAGTTTCAAAAAACCAAAACGAAAACATTGTATGCTAGTAAGGAAGAAAATGAGGAAATGAGCAATAGCAAGATAAAAATATCCACGGGGATGTATTTGCGGCACGTGATTACTTAGATGTAAAGATTGGTGACATCGATCTGGGTCTATTTTTCAGCTCAATTAGTTCCTTCACTTCTTGCCTCTTTTCATTAGAAATATTAAATACTAAACTCAATAGATACCCATAGGATGCTTTATATGCAAGACATGGATCCAGGTCCTGCAAAAATACTGCTAGAGCCAGAGAAAGGTGACACTTAGAAAATGCTGTACCCGTATGAAAAGGCCGGTGGCTGAGCACGGCAGCAAGACACAGGAAAATTAGCGAAGAACATCAAAATTATTTGCCTTCAAACACCCACTTGGAAGGTAAGCTGTCATCGTAGTATTATTTCAGGTTTACTGGGTAGTTTTTAATGGGAAATGGCAAGGTTTTTCAATGGTTTGCTCAGAGCTAAGGCTAGTCAAATTGTTTACATTTCCTGGTTAAACAAAATCTCTTCGAAAGGTCAAATTAGGTCAACTTGCATAGGCCCGCTCGCCTCAGAAATAACTTTTGCCAAGAAAAAAATTATATCAGGCTCAAAGACAGCTCTTTTACTTGCTACAATTAAATTTTGAAAGAATTCTACATGATACCGAGTATGTTTTTAGATGTTTGAAAACGGTATGGAATTTTTGATTTTCAAAGTCTAGAAATTTCGGTTCTCTTCGCTTGGTCACCAGGAATTCGGAATTACAATTGTAAGTCTAAAATACCACCAAAGCAGCTTAGCAATACCTCCTAAGTAAAATTATAAACTAAGGAAAAACATAACTTGCTATGCGCCTTCAAGCGAGTTCGATTATCTGATCATGAAATTTGACCTCATTTCTGTTATTTTTCGGCTTCACGGGTTGTCGACGGTTCTTCGTAATTTTCTCAAAACTGTAAAAACTCTAGAACCTTAAACTTATATCACGATTCTTAGCATACCATAGGTTAGCTCTGGGCGAAATATCAAGGGGTCAAAGATAAATATGACACCCGTGATTAGAAGCAGCATAGCTTACAACAGTTAATCAAACAGCCGGGCCGGGCGTAATAATACAAAATGCAAGTAACCAACTTGTTCATGGAATATTTCAAATTTTGTTTCTCCAGAGCTAATATTTAGAGAGCTTAAAACATATCTTGCAATGCAAATGAGCCAAAAAAACTGGCACGTGGCAAAAAACAGAGGTGTCAAACTCTACAAATTACACGCGGATAACAGAGGAAACCACGCAGACCTATGACCTCTAACGGCTCTACTCTGGTGAAATGTCCTCCTAAAATAGGATTATTGCTTAGCGAAATATTCAAAGATCCCCCGCCGATCCTCAAAGATATACTAGTTCGAGCAAAACTCTCAAAGCGGCTATTACACGTGGATAGGAGTTGTGTAGGCCTGTAACCCCTTTGTTATCACAAATTATTGTTTCAAAATTTGAGTGCTTGATATATATGTTCCCTGCATCATTGTGAGCAACATTAGGGACATTACGATGCGAGGAC